CGGACAAATGACTTTGTTGCTCTTTACGACTGATTGATGACGTACAATATAACTGATAGTGACGGAACTTACATCAGAAATATACTTTCCGCTTTCCATTAAAAATCGAACAACAATTTTTGTTCTCCTTATTCGTTCTTACGCAACACTTCCGACTACACTCAAAATTTTATCTGGCTTGCGAGCAAATGACTCGAGCTGTTGATTTCAGAAAAAAGAGGAAATTTTGTTCGATGTCAGCTTTCGTTAATACCCTCAGTCAAACCCATTGGAGAGAGTAGTTATTCAATACCATAGCCCGGCTATACTCTGTTTCACTGAAGCATACGTTGACATGTGCGCGGTAGCTAGCGGAGCCAAACTATAATAGTTTTTTTTCTATATTTTCTAATTCTGTAAAAGGAGCAGTTTATGACACATGCGGGCTCCTTCTACACGTGCCAAAATGATCATATCGTCCTTCTCCCACGTTACAATCTGTTCCTAACAAGCATCCTCATGTTTAAATATTTCACTATTTTCTTTGGAACCCTCTTAACTGTCATATTCAGCCCAACTGTCTTCAACCGTCCTCCATCTATCCGCACAGATGTTCGAGGGGACTCGTCGAGCAATGCTGTGAGTGGCAGAAATGGCTCTCCCTCTCTGCACTTGATAGGACCAAGTGAGGGGCACAAAAATCCTATTCAGAATTGGAACTTATGAAATCCAACTAGATGTTCAGCGCTCGCGAATTTTCTTTTTCTAATTATTCAACATTGGAAACTGTCAAAAAAAATTCACCATCAAACCATATCCAACGAATATGATCTTGTAATTGAACTGGCAGAACTCCTCCAACATATCAGCAATCGATGTTGATGCTAATGGATGTATTGTACGGCGCTCGAAGCCCTTTAAATCATACAATTAGAAACACCTGCAAAGCAGCCACTACACAAAAAATACAAATTAGAAGCAGTGATCTTGCTACTGGTGTTCCAGTTGGTGGGAAGTAGTGAAGGAAAGAAGCGATGCCTAAGAAAATGAACGTCAGACACAGCAAGCCTAACCTCTTCATCAAAGTTGGCGCGATGTTTGTACAGCATTCGGGTGAAGTTACGCTGCCATTGCTGGATTACTTCTTCGGCGAACTTTTCACTCCATATGGACTGATCCAGCTCAGGTTTTGCGAGAGGACGATTTCCCTGCAAATGATAGAGAATTCACAGCACCGTTCAAGAACCGTAGCACTGAACTGCCCGCACTTAGTGATAAATCACCTCATTCGGAATAGAACTCTCCTACTGGAGTTTCATTAAGATCATAAACATATGAATACAATTTTTCGGAAAATGCTCATCACAAGGAGATCATGCGCCCTGGCACAACTCACACTTTTGCCACAAATTCCATCCAAAACTCACTTTTTGCTTATATCTGAGGTAGACGTCATTTGGACTGGCTACCAAGAACACACTTTGCAAGGCGTCAGCCGACTCCATGGCCGCTCCCTTTGCTGATCGTTTCACTCCACCGAGGATCATGTCTTCGGGCCAATGCAGAACACCTGCTGCGAATCCAGGACACCCACCCGACATCACTTGAGCGTAATCGGGGAAACGAGGATATTCCGACTGAAAACAGATGAAGTAAGATAACATCATAGGATTATAGGTTCACGACAACAATCGAGGTGAAGTAGTGAATCTAAGACGAAGGTGATCCGTATACAACAAATGTTGAGGGACGAGTAAATGTAAAGAGCGCTCCAAAATCGCACCATCTGCCCAAAAAATATCAATGAAAAAAATGCTACCCCAACGAACGCTGATAACTATTCATATAATACCTACTAACTATTATCAAATCTTTAAATGAAAATTCCATTCATTATAACACCAAGAAATATTCCCAGTTGAAAGTTTAAGTTCGGAGGCGACGACATTTACTTATGGCTTCTGAAAGTTATCCAAATATTGAAGACTTGCACAAGGAACAAAAACCCAACCAAAATTAGAGCAATGATCTCCACGAAAAAAAGGCCACAATTCCAATGCCAAATTTCAAAGAACGTACCAAGGCAAGGAATTCAGACCACTTGCCGGGATTGTCAAACATCCACCGCATCATCGGACCACGATAGACTTTACATTCTGAAACCGAACTTCCTTCAGGTAAATACCTCGATTAGGGTGATTTTCGTCACGTGCACGTAACGGATACGTACCTTCAGCGGCTGCTTTCGCGGACTTCTCACTGCGTTGTGCTTCCTCTTTCGCAACAGATTCAGCTGCTTGATCAGAAGTGCCCGAATCTGGTTTGCTCGTTGCTGGTGAAGCATCCACGTTCTCAGTATCATTTACTCCATGCGAAGCTAACGTTTCCGTGTCTCTCTTCTTTCTTCGTTTGCTGCCCATGTCTAGAACAATTCCAGATTGGTTTGCAAATTGGTACTCCGGAAAATACGATCTCGAGAATGATATGAATGAATGACTTACTGAATATGGAGAGAAGATCGAATTCATAAACGTCATGGGAGAAGTCGTCTGCCTCCAACGTGATGTTATTTTTATCTGCATAGTCACGAAAACGATCCAACATCGGACAAACGTCGTAGTAATTCGGAGACATTTTTGGACACTCCGGATCCAGTGGGTTCATACAAGGCCTGTCGAGGTAACCATGTCCAACCCCGACCTGAAAGCATGCGCTGATAAAAAAGCTGACAAAAAAATGAAACTCAATGCAACTTCAAAAAGAGAATCTGAATAAGCGCATGAGGTAAGAAAGAGATGTCTCACACAATATCGATTGAGGGATAGACAATTCATAACAGAAAATCTCGCTTAGAGAAAAAGCGCTAATTTTCGGTAATGAAGAGAAGGGACATACAGAGACTATTTGATATACGAAGTAAACTCACTCGCTCAAAAAATGTATGATGAGAACCCAGATTCAGCATATCATGAATCTCATTAATGACAGCCATGGGATCGAAATCAGTCCAGTGGATATGCTTCCGATTTGGAATTGACTTCAACCAGGCCAAAAGCGCAAGATCTCTGAAATAGCGCCCAATTTACGAGATCACAAATAAGAACGATCACATCCAAAAAATGAAATGAACGAAAACTCTCAATCTAAAAACTGGAGACGCACTTAGTTTCGATTGGTGGATGAGGTCCGAGTGCTTTCGCACCTTCCCAGAAACAATCAATCGGTGTTATCCATATACAAGGAACTATCCGTTCGATGACATCAGACATCTCAGCTGCAAGGCCATCCAGTTCCGGTGGAGCCGGCTTAAAGCAAATGTCGGACAGTGACCATGATCTGAAATGAGAAGAATTAGTCCCAGCCCATTGCCAGACCTCCTTTTTCTTCTTACATTGTCCTTCTCAAAATCGCTGTGCAAAACGCAACCTCATATATGCCTAATAACCTAGTATACGCACCACTACCTACTGTAAATACAATATTCATAAGCAGGTTGGCTCCAGTAGTACATGTCGTTCGTGTACGTATCTTGTGGCCATGGTACCCCCAGCCCAGGAGCTAAATGTAAACTATCGCGTAGATTCTGTGAGTCATTTCATCGAATAGTGATGTGAATCAGCAATCACCACTTTCGATGAACGGATTCAGTCAACAGATTTAGTAGTGTTCCCTTGCTTAGAAAAGTAGGTGTTTAACAAATTAAGGCATTTATTCTGAAATGGTCACTGACGCCACAACATATCTGCTCCTTCCTGCCATTTGTAGTCAACATCTTATGAGGTAGCGAAGTGGTACATATTCAAAAGCGCTCAAGCACGTTCGGAACACTAGCACATTCCAACCTTCTACAGAGGGGTTATTGGGAAAATTCCCCTTGCCTAAGAGAAATATCACAGCCATTTGAACTGCGAGCTAAATGACCAATAAACTGAGAGTACAGCGAGAATACGTGCTTCGAGAGCTCCGACACCATAACGTGCACTTTTCCCATTGCAAAACATAACACTTAAAATCAATGTAAGAGACGCTGCCGAAATACCTCTTCAGAACGCATTCAATTAAAATGCAAATTTGCTGCTATACTACAAGGTCGGCTGAGTGGTCACATCAAATTCGGACATTAATTCAGCAGCATAATATGTCGGAAAGTTCATAAGCAGCAAGGTGAGGGGAATCAAATTATGTTCAGTACCAAAATCTTATCACAAATCTTGCTCTACCAGAATTGGAAAGGTTGTCCTAATATGTGTTCCTTTATTTATAGATGCCATTTTTGTACAACGGTCTAGAATAGCAGGTAAAATGGAGCACAATAATACTTTCCATGTTCTCCATTAACCCTACACTCTATAAAATGTGAAAGAAATTACACCCAAATACTTAGGCAAAGTGATCAAACATATATAACATTGTCATAAATCTACAATTTGCAATCTAGCTGAATTGGCATTTCTCGCATTTTACAGTACATGTAAATACAATCACATGCTTCATAATGTCGCGATCCGATATTTTGTCGAATACGCGTTGTATGGGATGTCACAGGTAGCCACCACAAACTTTTCGGACAATTTGAGCCGGTATTAGTCATTGTATTCTAGTTGACTGTATTGATAAAAGTCAAATCTCATCAGTCCGACCTCTTCATGAACAGACAATCCAGCAATTTCATCGTGTTTCGAATGATCAAATTTTAAAGTTTTATAAAAGAAAATAAGAATGACTCATCACCCACAACTTTACATGTCTTTTCGATTATGCACAAACCGTAGCGTAAAACGATAGAAACAAGATAGCACCCGTGTGTTACTGTAGCTGCATTAGGTTGTACAAATTCGAAGTTGCAAATCAAAGTTTTTTGGATGAAACTTCTCATACAAAACGCCATTGGTTTCCGCTCGCTTTGCCCTGAAAAAATGGTAAATTCAATTGGCTCAATGGAAACGCTTGATTGCGAAATATGACAAACACCTATTCAATGTTAATTTCGAAGAATTGCGCTAAAATCATGTCAGATAGGATTTGTTTTCGAAAGCCAGAACTAGGAAGAGGGACTTCCACAAGGGTTCTGTTGCTAAGCTGTTCACCTTTCACTCATGTACGACAACAAAAGTACCAAGAGATACTTCACTGCCAGCCAGCTTGATCCTTTCAAACTTATTTCCAATCTAATTTCCACAAACTTTTCATTGAATTGCTGCATTTACTGTCTATGCATGACATTGCTCTTGGAAAAAACGATTTAAATTTCCATTACCATTCAAGAAAACGTGCTCCACACTCTGAAAGTAAAATGAGCCCTCTTCTAAGCCTTACTGGATTATTATACCGAACGTTTGAATCTAGCTAAAAGGTTTAGCAATGCTTATTCTATCACAAATCCCTCACGTGCAGCCGTAATGGCTACTTATTCTTTGATCAATCGACGAACGCGGCAGCCAGCTTGCTATAAACAATAGGGAGCAACCGAATAGCTAGGCGTCAGGTGTTTTTCGGCAAACGGCGAGCAACGCTCGCACTAAACCCGAGCAAATCCCCCTCCAACCTCAGATTATAACCACAAGCAGCCGGAGCAAGCACCGAACAGCCTCAATTAATCGCTTTGCCGCCTCCTCTATATACACGCGTAGCAGCTGGTTCTGTGGCACCAATTTTCAAAACTGGTCAGTTTACGGATAATCCCCTTAATACGATTTTGGCTAAAGCAAGCGGGAGTAACTAGTTGAATAATGCGTCCACCACAGAATATCCACCCCCTAAATTGGACGTGATTTCTCTGCAATACATAAAACCAACGAACTGTCACCGTGCTATGCTGCGATTATTGTGGGTGCCAATCATATTTGAACTACTGTATCTATTCAGAGTCCTTCCGTCACGAAACCCAGTAATTTTGAGGCCATTTAGGTTCACTGCCTATAGTGAAGTGCGTCGAATGTCCGCCAAGGCCAACAGTAGCGCAGGAATAAATTAGCCTACCCACGAAACCAACTCGGAGACCATAAACGAATTTTGTAGTTTCCGTTCACATTCGATCTCTCGAACAATTGAAAACGATTTAAGAAGGCTTTCAGACCACCCGCCTACACGTATCCGCTGGGAATCAATCGCATGGAATCGACTGCCAACCCATCTTACTACATGCATACTTCCATTGACAATTGTTCAGTCTAAAAAAGGAGTGAGGCCCTGCTGCATCATGAATGATTCGAAAATGTTTGCAGGGCTGCAGCCAGCAATCCTTTGAGTCCGCACTTTTTATGTAGGAAAAAAATCCTGCCCATGAATCAGCCATTTTTTCGACTCTCGCACATATTCACAGACCGAGAGCGCTTACGACGTAATCCGACACCCCCAGTCGTTCACCGAAAAATGCTCCAAGTCGTAGGGCACAGATGCCATAGTGAATCAGAAACCCGGCCACCTTTAAGATGTCAAGATGTGTAAGCTCATAGAGCAGCTCGTGAATTGTGAACGAAAACTAAAGATCTATTCGAATGACCCAAAAATATCCCAACAGAGCTGAATAGTGACCAACAACTGAGACTGTCAACTATGTTTTTCCACAGCTGAAAAGAATTTTTAATGGTGTGGATTGGAATTGACACAATGGTAGTTTACTAGCACACCATTAAAGAACCTTTTCCAGCTATGAAAAAAACACAGTTTACAGCAGTGGCTAGGCTTGAAAATCTTACCCTCCCTCTCCCCCTCCCCTTTCGTGCTTTCCCAGTAACCACCAAGGAGAACGATTTTCTGCGGACGCATTTGATTGTCAATTCTTCTCCGCTGTATTCACTACCATCTTTTCGACATAAAAACTCCGTACCCTTCTTTCACGATGCCGCAACTCGTAAAAGGGATCAGCGATTACGACTACAATAGAATACTTCACCAAAAACTGCCAAACTGCCGAATCTCTTCCCCAGCTCGATATTCACAGCGTTCACTACATGGTTCATCTTGTGTAGAGAATTCTTAGGTGGAAACGGAAACATGGCGGTTCATTTTTGAGTCACTTGAAGTTCTTCCGTTGCCAAGCACTCCTCCAAATTGTCTATTCATCCACATGTTCGTCGTTTTGCTCAGCTAAGCACTTCCGCATGCGAAACTTTCAGAAAAGCGTAGGAGAGCAAATTCATAAATGGGTAGGTGTCAGAGAACTTGGCGGAACATAAATAGCAAATCCAAAAAGGGATCGGGGGACTTCGTAGAAAATTCCCTAAGGTAGGGGAAGAAAAAATTGAAG